TATTTAATAATAAAATACATATTTTAAAGTTCTAAGACTAAACTAAATCTGATATCATCCGAGCCTAAAACTCAAATGCAACCCATCGCATTGGGCTCTGGAGAGCCCAGAGTCTGAATTAGCCCTATTTCAAAGGGAGGTTCAAAAGGAAGTTACACCCTTTCGGATCAGACTAAGTACTGCTATATTCCATTTTTCATCTACTATTTTCTTAAGTGAGTCTTTTCTTCTTTAGTCAAGTTTCCGTCTGTTTGATGTTTGACTTTTGTTTTACGACTCTTGTTATGAGCTGTAATTATTTAAAATATTATTATTTTATTTTAATTATTTTAAAAATATAAAATAATACCTTTCATAATGTAAATAGAAATTTTGTAATAATGAATCAATATCATTGATATCATGTATTGTAAATGTATATTGACAATATTTTTAAATAGCAAGAATATATAAAGCTCATCCTTCTAAAATTCTAAAATAAAATATTAATAAATATATTAACAATAATTTCATATTTATACTTAATATATTTACTTTTTATCCATATAAGAAATTAATAGAAGAATTGAATAAAGAATTGTCCAATTCATCTATTCTTCTGCTTTAAATCCTTTAGAATGCTTAATATTTATTAGTAGTCGACCAAATTCTGAAGGCATGGTTCATATATTATCAAGTATATGTTTTCTAATTTTTTTTCAAATATTAGATTTTAAAAAATAGATATTATTATTCTTTAATTCTGTTTTTGTTGCAGAAAAAAACTGCCCAAACCAATGACGATACATTGCAGGTATTACTCTTTCGAAAAAAATGCATAATATCTGTAAAAAATAATTGTGGAAATCAGATTGTATTAGGTTCAAATAAAATACATGAACCTTTAATTCCTATAATAAATAAATAATTAATTACTTTAATTAAGAATTTAGAATTTTTTATTTAATATAAAATTATCTTGTAAGTTTATTTGTTTATTTTTTTCAGATCCAGAATGTATTTGCATAACCTTCATAATATCTTCACTATACTCTTTATGAAATCGTATTAGAATATTTAAAAAATTGTAAGATGAAGATTGTAATCTAGTATTTAATGAGTAGTAAATTTGATCCTTATATATGCTACAAATATTACAAAATCGGCAACCCATGTATGAATTATAGTCTGTTAAATTTAAAATTTTTGTAATTGCAAGAATATCGCCAGTTTATAAAATAGTATATGCTCGTAATATAAATTTCATATTTTTATAATCAGTTATTTCAACTCCACCTATTAATATAATAATAATATTAATTTATTTAATTTCAAAAAATTAAAAAAATTATTAATTAATAAATACGTATTGTTATGAGGGAAAAATATACACCTTAAAATTTCTACTCCTTAGAGTAAACCGGGAAAGGGTTTGCATAACATTTAACAAGAATACTGTAATGTCTCGAAAGAGAATGATCGATTTTGCATAGCCAAATAGATAGTTTATTAATTATGATGTTTGTGAGACACCTTACAACTTAATAAATACTCACACTTATATACTAATTATATATCTACATCATATGCTATATTCGCTAATTATACTAACTATTCTATATACTATATGTGCTAGTTATGCTATTTCGGTCAAATCTGCTATTTATGCTAAATCTACTTGATATGCTATTTTTACCAAATTTGCTACATCTGCTATATAGACTAATTATGCAATGTAAATAATTATGCAATCGATCTACCATTTGCGTCTAATGCATCATTGATCCATTCTTAATCGTTACATTTTCTTCCACTTATCTTGTTCGTTTTATGAACTTCAAATCCTCCAAGATCAAATATCTTCGAGGCCAATCGAAGCAGAGATAAGTACTGGGATATTCTTTTGTTCATGGTTTCTTGTATCACCTCTAATATCATTACTCTTTCCTTCGTTTTAGGTTTATGTTCTAATACTGGAATCATTCCTTTGGAGGTTAATTTCGACATCTTTATGATGACTTTCTCTGTTGCATCTTTTTGTCATTGGTTACATGATTTCAGGTGAGTTTTACTATGTTTGGCTTTTTCGTTTATCCATGCTTTAAACTTATCCATTTTTTTATTCCACTTATTATCTGCTTCACAAAGATTTTTAAAATCAATAACCATTCCAGATCTTTCAGTCTTTTCATATATCCTTTTGCTAGCCGTATCATCTATTTTGGCACCGTGGTATTCGCTGGCTTTAGGTTTGTTCCTTTCGACTTTGATCTCATTCTGATATTAGCCTTCCGGGTGATTATATCCGTCTTCAACAGATTTTAATTGCTATTTAAATGCTTTGGTTTTCTCTATTCTGGCTTCATTTTCATAATGATCTCTAGCCAAGTACATTTTATCAGCATCACCTGACTTTGCTGATCTTTGATAATGAGAGAATGTCTTATTTTCATTTTTTTTTACTCTAATTCTATTTCGATACCAGTCGCTGATAGTTTTCATATCTTCAGCTTCGTCAGGTTCTTTTTCAGTAGGTTCTTTCGCTTTAGTGATGGACTTCCAGAA